GGTTTAGGGTTTAGGGCTTCGGAGTGCATTTTTGGGTACAGGGTCTGGTGTGCAGGGATTATGTAAGGGTTTCGGATTCTGCCGATGGGGTTTACCCTCAGCACAGGGGGTCTTAGCAAGCAGAGCTGGATCCCTGTTTTGGTTGGCTTGCTCTAACTAAGGTAGGGGCCTTAACAATTATAATAGGTTTTGGGGTTATATTATACTATAGCTATAAAAAGAAACCCCAACACCTTATTCTACTTGTTAAGGCCCCTACAATATCCCTCTAGCTATGCTTTGATCAGCCTTCACCTAGACATCGGATGACATGGACGCAAGAAGCACAGATTGTACAAAGGATCCTCGCGCTCAGGCCCTTAGAGAAGGGAGCTCCTGGCAGGGGGCCTACATTAATCCATAGACCTGGAAACAGGCTGGGAGGTCTGGCTTCGTTTAAGTACAGCTAGCACCGGCATGGTAAGTATGTGGCCATAGTTATAGGTACGTGCTACTTTGCAATGAATGCAACATAAAGGTTTGAATCTTACTTTTCAACAGAGGCGGGTTGCTGGCCTTGTACCCTAAACCTGGAACACAGGCGGGGTGCGTAACCTGTCTATACATCATTCTTTGGAGTCAACCCAAAGCGTATGTACCTCTATGAGTATACTATATACTTTGGCTCGAACTGCCTATGTAGGACAAAAGTACATACGGTAATCCCAAGCCCCTGCACTACTCTGCAAAACTGGGCTTAGCCCTATGTCATGTCGGAGCCCAAGACCCTAAACCCTATAAGCCTTAAACAAAACGTTTAAAAGCCTAAATGTACGTGGACCCTTCGGGCTCCGGTTTTAGTGACCGGGACTCCTTGATTAGTTGTGTTGGAAGCCTAAAACCGGGGAGGCGTGAACCTCCAAACTCGAGGATCCAAAAGGGCTTATTGCTTCAGGTTCAGGGTTGAGGGTTCAGGGCTAAGTGGCTTGGCTTTAAGAGTCTACTGTTGCGGGTTTAGGATGAATGGCTTAGATTCAAGAGTTCCGGGTTTAGATTTAGGGTCATGGGTTAAAGCTTAAGGTTTAGGGTTCTCGGTTTCGGGGTTAGGGTTTCGGTTCCAAGCCCTGCAAACCTGAACATGAAACTTTATCGCCTTCCGCTTGCCGTCGCTACCCTTACCTAGGGGTCCATGAACCCATATGATGGTATATACTCAGACCATAAAGTACCTAAGTAGGACCTACATTAAAGCCAGTGTATAGACTATATGAGTACATGGACCATTAGGGTTAGATACCAAGTATATTCACGTAATTCTCTCTCTCTCTCTCTCTGTCTCTCACTCTCTCTTTGTCTTTCGCTCTCTCCATCCTTCTCCGTATATACGTCTAGCCATCTATCTGCCTATATGGATCTATACATACACGCATGCGTGTAGGGCCGACATACAGAGGGCCCATATACAACAGCGTGGCGTTTACGTTCGCTTACCTATGCTTTGAAGACCATTAACCCCTGATGCTTTGTGTGCGTGTATAGCTAGAGAAGTCCAGCTGCAAGCCCCTGTTTTAAAGCTTCTTGGAAGCAGCACCAGAAGCTGTCCAGAAGTCTTCACGATACGTCGGAGTCGCCAGGCAGCCGTCGCGATCTTCGGTACCAAGCCCAGCACCGGGTGTTCGCAACTCTGATCCCTGAACCTATAGATCACTAGCGCTTACAGATCGGGGCCCAGGGTATCGTTTTGACGTCCGGAATCGAATTATGCAATCAATCAGGCGATCTGAGAACATGGCCACTACACCCTAAACCTTAAACTCTAAACAGTTACATGAGACAGAGAACAGGCAGCCGATGTGTATGTTTTGACGGTAGGGACGCTGACAGAATTACGAAGAACACCGGGAATGCGACGGTGCCCCTAAACGCTCAGCTTTTACAACTCTCCCATCAAAAAGCTGTACACGGTTGCAGATTGCCTGCCTGGAAGGACCCGGGACCTTCTGCGGAATCCGAACGTGAACTGACCAATCTAAATCTCACTGTAAACCCAAACTCCTATACCCTAAACCCAAAACCAAGCCCCATGCCGATTAGCCGAGCACTGAACCTTGCGCCCACGGTTCAGGGCTTAGGGGTTTAGGGTTTGGGTTGTAGCTTTGGGGCTCAAGCACTGAGCCCTAAAGCCCGCAGCCGCATAGCCCGGACTCTCTTAGGGTTAAGGGTTTAGGGTTTAGGGTTTAGGGCAGTTTCTGGGAGCACTGGCACGAAAACAGAACCCACGACCCTACACCCGAAAACTTATACATCTCAAGCTATATCAACTTTCGGAGCCTAGAAATCCCTAAACCCTAACCACGCAACCTACACACCCCTGATCAACCGCTAAAACCCAGAAGCCCTGAGCCCGAAACCTGTGCACCTCGGTTTCGGGTTTAGGGTTTAATGTAGGGGCCTTCATAATTAGAATAGGGTTTGGGGGGGGTTCCTTATCATAAGTATAGTATACCCCAAAACCCTATTCTTATTATTAAGGCCCCTATATTAGGCTTAAGCCAAACTCTCCTTCCAGCCTAGGCCTAAACCACAAGTCCGAGCTAAATTACTTCCTGATCCATGAACCTACATACTAAACCCTATAAGCCTATGAGCCTTTAGGAACATAAACCCTCAACACATCTGTAAATCCTACGTCTTATACCCTGGACCCCAAGTTTCGAATCCTAAACCCTGCGCTTGTTGCTTTGCTGAGATGGCGACGCCACCGCCTGCTCGTGCCTCCGGGAGTGCCAGCCGGTGCTTTTCCTGTTGTTTGCGGGTTTAGGGTTTATAGCGTTTAGGGTTTACTGTTCAGGCTTTAGGGTTTAGGGTAGCAACATACTTCGGGGTTTGGGCTCTTTGGGTTGAGGTTTGATGTGCGATTGTGGAGGAAAGAGTCCCATACATCCTGATTAACCCGAACCTAAAGTCCCCAAGGGAAACTTCAAAACCCTCCAAGCTTACGGCACTGATGAGACTTCAAACCACGTAAGATTTTGCAAGGCGAAATGTTTTGGTCTTCGGACCATGAACCAGTCCGGGTGAAGCTTGGCTCGATCCTTCCCATGTCCAAATGGGGGTTTCCGAAATAGGGGGACCCTAATATAGTACCCTAAGTAATAGGATCCTTATTAT